AAGTTCCGACCACTATTACACAAAGGATTAACTGTCTGTGAGGCAACAGCGACTGCAGGTCATAATGAGACTCTCTGATGATAGCAGTAGTGTGTGATTCATATGTATGACAGTGACGGCTGAATCCCTATTCATATTCTCCTTGATCTGAGCCAGCCCATCAATATAAAGCACTGAAAAAGCAGGAAATGATTGAGCTCTGAGTTGGGCATCTCTCCGTCCTCACTCTGCCAACAGACTGTCACTGTTTGGGCAAACTCCAGTTACTCATGATGACTTCATTCTTCCCTTTATCCATCTACCCTTATCTCTTTTAACACTTTTGATATGATGTGACATCGGCTGAATAAAATGACATAAATTCCCTGACTTTGCTCCCATTTGTTTCTATTAGCCTCAAGATCACTTATAAAGATATTTTCTTATTGTTGTTCACCTTGCCGCCGGTGAATCTGCACGCCTTCTCATCATTGGCTAATGGGGCAGCTCCAGCTGGAATGTGATACAGGAAGACAAGGTCAGTTTTCATTGATTGTTAAATCACTCCTCTGTTTGAGAAAGACAGGACTGGGATGGTAAGACACTGACTGCTCTCCCCCAGCAGACTTACAGTAAATATCCTTCCGCTGGGCTCAGCTGTGCCAGACAACATTCACTTTGCCTACGAGTCAGCAGTTTATCAATATATATATATATACATATATAGTATATTTGTGTGTGTGCTTATATTTTGGTTCCTACAAACCAGATGAGCAGACATTTTGGAACAGTGTGAGCATCCTCCTCTCTCAGCGTTTCTTTCTGTCAGTCTCTCTGTTTGTTTGTTTGCCTCTCTGTCTGTGTGGCTGGCGTCAGTCTCAAAGAGATCTCCCTTCACCTTCGCACTTGGTTGTTCGTAAGTATCGCTGGCACTTTCCTCTTTGAATAGCTGTTTTTATCCTCTTCCTCCCTCCCTCTATCCCTCCGTCTCTTCCTCCCTCCATCTCCCCAGCTGAATGGCTGTCTGGACTGAGTTAAAGGGCTTCGGGGGGCTCCAGAGACCTGATGTTGAGGTATTTTGCGAGCGCTATCTATGAACTCATTGCATTTTAAGATTGGTGGCCACAGTAGAAAATCGGAACCTCACTCTTCTTGGCTGCGTTGGTGCCCTGAGCTACACCACAAAATGAACAAGTACACATGGGAAATGGAAGTACATGTATATGTGTAGAGAGATCAGTTGTGTTTTTGCAGATGGTGGCCTTGGAGGGTGGGGGGAAGCTGAAGGAGCTCTCGGCCCGCGTATGCAACCGAGACAGGGAGACAGACGGGGGCAGGGAGGGCTTTGTGCACCAGCCCTTTCCCACACTCCCTTTCACCTTTTTTGTATGGCAGCACCGGGGCTCTCTGACATGACGAATCGCTCTGCCTGCTTAACTCAGACGATGGCAGTAAAGAAAGTAAGAGAGGAGTGGAAGGATGTTTCAGTGTGTGTGTGTGTGTGTGCGCATGTTTATCTTCAGGCCTGAAACAGCCTCTGCCTACCGTCCTCTGTCCTGCAACTCTGCTCTCCTGTCACCAGTCTGGAGCAGAGCAGTTGAGGTTTCAACACTTCCAGCGCTGGAAGGGCAGATTCCACAGCGGATGAGCCAAACGCAGGCACACACACTAACACAATCACGCACATGCTCATATACACACACACTAATGCCTCTGCCCAAATGCCAGCACCAAGCTGTTGCCCATAAAGCCTTCGGTCTGTCACAATAGAGACATTACTACATGAGTGAGTGGCTTTGAATGGGGCTAAGGGTGTGTGTGTGTATTTAGAGTGTGGTGGCTTCGGGGGGTGTTCCTGGCAAGGCAGACGACCCTGTCATCACCTCTGCCCCTCGTCAAACAAGCAAACGGTGCATGTGCACGACACAAAACACTTGCACACACTCCTGCTGCGCGGCCTGTTGCACTTATCCAAGTTTGTAACTGTCCTCTATTTTCTCACAGGGAGGAGCTCTGAGTATATATATTCACTGCGGTTGAGTGTTTGTGAGGAAATAAGAAAGACAAGTATACTGTGGCTGGTTAGCAGCCCAACACAGAGACTCACTGACCCAGCAATAGGCCAAGAAGGGTGAGGGTTGAGAATGTAGAGGTTGAAAAGAGGAGGGGAAAGGAATGAAAGGGAGACTCTTCTTAAAATGAGTGAAAGGCTATCGGAGGAGATCACCAGTTCCAAGTGGAAATACATTTGTAAAGTTAGGTGAAGAGGGTGAATGGGGAAAAAATACAGTGGCAGACAAAGTTATGCACACAAAGGCACAAGGAAACACGTTTAAAATACTTGTTGTGGGCGACTGTAACTCAGCTCAGTCTTGTGGAGCCTTGAAATGTCTTCGTGCAAAAGCAGGGTTTTACACCAACAAAATCACTCCTCGGCAAGGCATGCAGGATGTGTGTGTGTGTGTGTGTGTGGGTTTGTGTGGTGGAGGGAGTGACAAGGGCTTAGGGGGCCATGTCATGCTGTCACTACTGGAATGCATGACAGCAATGTTTTGTCGCCGTACGGATGAATGCAGCGTCATGGCAGCAGAAAAAGAAGGAGAGGAAGGGGTAAGAAGGAAGAGGGAAAAAGACTAGTACTTTTACACACACCCCCCAACACACACATTCACCGACACACACTCAATGATGAAATTAGGTCATGCAAGTAAAGCCATTGCAGGGAACAAATCATCATCATAATTGGACCCTTAACAAATCTGTGGAGGTGGCTGCTTCACACACACGCTAGAAGGAACACAAAAGCCAACACACACTTCTATTGCTGCGCACATGGCCGGGAGGGGGCTAAAACTGAATTTCAGCATAAATCAGAGTATGTTTGACAGTTTTATAGCTCTTTCAGGAGCTTCATTTGGGACAGAAGTGTGATAGAAGAGCATTACCCGTGGTAAATATAATTGTGGTCAAGATCTTTCCATAAATCACAGCGCACGTTGCATCACAGTTGCCTGCTTCCTGCAGGGAAATGTAATCCCAGAGCATCAGGTGACCTATGGGATTTCTTTCTCCCGTTCTCTCAGGTGTGCTGGGCATCCACAGCAAGAAAAATACTGATTTAGATCATTTAGAAATGGGCTCTAATTTCACCCAATTTTAACCGGAACCAGTCAGCAGAATGTATACGTAGGTGTTAGAATTCATTGAAAAGGTTAACATTATGGGAATGATGCTCATTTGCTTTTTCGCTAAAGTTTGCATGAGAAGAATGATGCCCCTCAAATGCCTGTACTGCAGGGGTTAGGCCACAGGAGCAATGTCAGTGGGCTGTGTTAAAGGAGTGAAAGATTGAAAGGTTGACCTTGCACACTCACAGCTTTTCCTCACACATTTCACATGACAGGCTGTGCACATTATTTATTCATGTTTAGAGACAAGTCTGCGCGAGACATACCAACAGCCACATTCACATTCTTGGCATTCAAACTGAAGTCAAATACATGTAATATAGGCTGAATAAATCTCCATAAAGTGTTTGATTGGGAGCCGTTGTGCATGTCAGCGTTGCCTACTGCCGGTCACATCTGCAGGAACCATATCAACAACTGGGCGAAGACAGAGCGAGGCGAGCTGGAGCTGACACTAATCCAGTAATTGGCTTGTGCCCATGTCGCTTATCAAAATAATTGACAGTATTTTCTACAGTGAGATGGAAGTGTTTGTCCTGGCGGTACCCACTATTGACTGTGGATCCAAACAGCTGTGAATCAGTCATGAGAAGCTTGGTTTTGTTTTGTGGTTTCCAGAGAATGTGGTTCTGAGTAAAACCAAACAAAACACAGTGGAATGACTTTCTTACCTGCATAACGTAGTGTAAAGGAATTTAATATAGGCCTAATATGAATACAGTTTAAGTGTCAGTGCTGCAGGTGGATGTGATGGTTAGATTTTCAGTGATTACACTCATGTGCCTGTTCCTTATGTAAACACAAGTACTTCATGCCATTGTTATAAATCTATCTAATGATTCCAGAAATCAGTTTGTCTGACTGTAGCTCACATATCTTGAGAACTGTTTTAATGGCTTCACACTTGGCATGTGTATTGTTAAGGAAGTGCTGTGTCAAATTTGCTACGATTTGAACATGATACTTTCAATATCAGTAGAATTTGAAAAATAGGCAACTAGCGCTTTAATGATCATACTTTCTGCATTCCACTCCAGTAGGTGCATATATTGTACCTGGAACATGCGCAGCCAATTCATACATTTAGCGCAGTCGCATGTTTTGCGCTGCACATGGATGCCCACATAGGATTGCATGAGAACCTCATTGGACACAGGTGGACGACAACATATACGTCTTTGGGACCATAGCGGACTGGCAGACACAGAAATTATGAATTTGACCTTAGGTGATGTTGTTGATAATAATATGCATTTATGACAATGACAACCGATTCTCCAGTTTAGGTCAGATTGAAAAGGCCAATGCACTAAAACAGATTTTAAAAAATGAAAGTCTTTTTTCCTATATCTGTATTTTGTTTTAAATCAATAGGCTTTACAGAGTAACAGAATTAGAATCCACTCATCCCATAAGAGGTTGGATTTTGCTGTGAAACATTTACTTTATAAATTTGAGGCTCCATTTTGCCTTTAGGATGCATGGCTTCAGAAGAGACTACAGAGTTTTCATAGTGCCCTTGAGGCACTGATAATTGAAATGAGCAGTTGTTTACTAAGTTGTAGGGCAAATTATACTTTAAAACTTAAAATCACTTGTTCAGATGCCCCCCCCCCCCCCCCTTTTTTTTTTTGCAGTGTAACCCGGTGCAAGGAGTCTCTAAAGACCGCTGCTGTACCACCCCACAGCCAGGCGGCTGATTGACAGGACTTGGCTGACTGTGGTCCCTCCTTCCCAACGTCTCCTCCTCCACCTCCTCCTCTCTCTCTCCTTCCCTTACTCTCCCCCTCTCTCTTTCTCTCTCTCCCTACTCTCTCTCCTCAATCGCAAGGCTGCGCTCACCCACTCTACACCGCCGACAGGGATGCAGCGAGGGCGCAGCGCAGCCTGAAAAATGGCACCACCACCACGCGTCCTGTGGATCTATCCATCCCCTCTCCTCCTGTACTCCCTGCTCTTCTTTCTGTCGCCGTGCCTAGCCTTAAGGAATTACCCGGAGAATGAAGGTGGGTGTCCTGGACCTGGAAGGTTGTGTGTGTGTGTGTGTGTGTGTGTGAGCTTGTACACATAGATGACTTTGGGGCTGTTGTGCGCTGAGTTGGCGGACGAGGAGCCCCGATCCCCGCGGTTCCACTTGCCGCGGAGAGCGCGGAGCGGAGTGGCGCAGAAAGTGCTCAGCTATGTTATGAATGATGCATAAAGAAAAGGGATGCAGAGGATGGGGGGGAGAAACTGTTCGTCACGTTTTTTTCTTTCCCGGGAATATTGGAATTAAATTTGCATGACGTATATAAGCACATACATCCCTGGCACGCTGAAGATGGAGAGGGCTGATGTGGACAATTTCACTTTGTGACATCTGGAAAAAGCTCCACATCTGTCTCACTCCTTTTTTTTTTCTTGCATTAAAGCAGCCTAACTTATAATGATTATGTCAAAGCAATATTGACCTCTGTGTCACAATGCTTCTAAATTATAGATATCTTCATTATAACCCACTGATAGATGCTTTTCCCCTCTGCTGCAGTCTACAAATGAGGAGCAGCAATTACATTAAATTTGTCACACGCTGCTGCTGAGCTTCTCCTGGTTATTGTGTTAACATCGATGCTGTGCCTGAAATTAGCCAATGCATTTACTCACTAACTACTCCTGACTGCTTGCTGGACTGGAACATGGGAGCTGGCTCCAGAAGGGGACATCTAATTGGAGAAAGGAGCACAGCAGCATATTCAAAATAACTTGTTTGAGGAGCACGCTGTGGGTCTTTTGTGAGTGTTTGTTTGTTGCTTCTCGTGCTGTCAGGCAGTCTGATGATACCAGCTGTGACTTGACTGTCATCCTGTGAAGCGTTTTCATTCACAGCTCCAGTCGGGTCCTTTTGTGCAGCTCAACGAGGCTGCATCCCCGTCATGAGCTGCATGGTTGCTACCTTTCTCTTACTTTCACAGTAGATTAAACAGTCAAATGATTTCACATCAACTCCCCGCACACACAGGATAGGACAGGCCAGGCCACACTCAGGTTTGAGGGGACCTCCTGCGTGTTTCTGGCTGACTCAACTGTGTGTGAGCTGAGTGTATGTCACAGCCCAGAGGAGCTCATAGAGAACAAAAGCTCTGGAGGTTAGGTAGGCAGCGAGCGGAGAAGGAAGAGCAGTGCTCTAACAGCAGGAGACAATGTATGTGAGGGAGACACTAACACACCAATGAAATATTAATTCAAACGAGCATGAATGATGTAACCCCCTGGAAGCCAAAGGAAACTCCTGTTGATAGGGATAAACGCACAGGGGGCATCTGTGTGCCGTGGTGCACGTGTGTCTGATGTTCAACTTGAGAATTTATGAGGTCGACAGAGTTTTCGATATACACTTTTTTAGATTTTTTGTGCGTCTACTGTCTCACTTCGTCCTTCCCCCTATGGCCATTTCTCTGTCCTGATGCTTCAGACAATTGGTCTAATTGGGACTTTTTAGCCAAGTCCCTGACTTGTGTATGTGTGTTGTGTGTGTGTGTGTGTGTGTGTGTGTGTGTGTCCCAGTGGGACAGTAATCCAATGAAGCCATTTTTGTCCGCTGCTCTATGCTTTGCTTTTACCTCTCAGCCTGCCAGTATTCCTGCTGTGACTGCACGCTTAGCTGAGGGACTGCTTTTCTTTTGTGCCAGTGTGTGTGTGTGTGTGTGTGTGTGTGTGTGTGTGTGTGGGTACCTTGTGTTAGTCTATGAGTGTGCATATTCTCTACCCACGCATCTCGGCAGTCATGTTATTCCAGGAAATCCTCCCTCTGAGTCTGTCTCATTGCAAGCGCGGCTGTCATAAAAGGGGATATACAACTCTCAAAGCTCAATTAAGAACACAGTCCCTTTGATAGAGCTGATAGTGTTAGCAGCAAAATAGTGTTAAGCTGTCAACAAGCTTAGTTTACTACCAGGGCTTATTGATCTGCTCCAAAATTGTTGGCATTTACAAGAAACACAGTTATGAGGGTGGGCTGAAACACTGTGCCTTGGCAGAACTGAGAGACTTACTGCTAACTGTGGACTCTCGGAACATGATCTCTGGAGGAAATTGGCTCATTCATAAGTTGTTGTGATGAAGAGCGTCCTCTGAAGGTCTTTGTTACCAGCAGAACAGGGAGGAAGAGGAGCAGGTTGAGTTTCTGTGTGCCAGCAGAGGGAGCCCAACACACAACAAGTCTGAGCCCTGAGGGCATACTGATGTAACAGCTGGGTGGATGCTCACAGGTCGCTGCTTGGTTCCTTTTTGTCCTGCTGTCCTCATCCCTACTTTACCCTCCTCATAACTAAATGGAACAACATGTTGTCTTCTCTTTGTTGATTTCTCTGCACCTACATTTTGGCCTGCTCCCCCTCTAGTGCAGAATCATGCTGGGGAATAGAGCAGATTACTTCCTTCTATTTATCTGTCTCTAAATATACCTCCTGAAGCCTAGAAAAACACAGAAGCATGATCGGAGCTTTATGCTTCCTTCAGCTGCAACGGGATGTTGATTATAAGGGATGCAAATTAATGTTTTAATTCCTACCTCTGCCCAGGGCGAGGGAGGGGGTGAAACAACAGAACAGGAAATATATAAAGGGTTGGGTATCGTTTTGTTTTTTTCCTGATAAGGGATGCTAAAATGATGCCAGATGCAATACTCTTTTCTTGATTAAATGCACAAAAAAATGCTTCATATGATAAGAACGGCTTTTTTGTTGCTAAGGAAAATTGGAAGTTGGGACGCCCACACTGACAGCAGATGGGTCATGCAAACAAACAAACATAAAATCCCTCTGCTTTCAAATGTATCCCATGTGTTGCCAGGTGCTTCACTTAGTTTGTCGTGTTACTCCCTCATCAAACGTTTGCTGCACTTCCCTTGTGTCTGTATATTGAAATAAACCCACACTTTCGCCCGTAGCTACTAAGTAACTGTAGGTTAGGGTTACTTGCTTCCAGGCACATGTGGTGATGTTAATGTTGCCTGTAAGGGTTTCAGGACATAGCTCAGGCACCGAAATAAGGAACGGAAATCTGAGTTGTGATTCGGTCCGGTAGGTCCCGGCAGTGTAAGTTTGCGGTACCCTGGCCTATTCAGTTTTATTACAGTTTCGAGATTTAATGTAATCTTGCAACCAGACATGTATTTTTATAGGACTGGCCTCAGGATGCTGGGTGGGAAAAGGCTGCATTGCTTCGTAAGGTGAACATGAGGGTGAGCAGCGAGGCAAGCATATGTACACTATGCCCTCTACACACACACACACACACACACACACACACACACACATCTTATGATTCACACAAGATCCTGACTATAGCATAATGTTCGGTTAAAGGTCGCCTCTGGTTTAATTGCTTTAATCTATAATGGTTGCTTGTAGTTATCGGCAGAGCCATATCTCACAAAGTGTGTGTGTCTGTGTGTGTGTGTGTGGATCCGAGATATTGCTTTGCTCCCATGTAACAACCGTGACCTTGGACAGAAGAGGATATAGATCTCAGCTCTCATCACAGAGAGCAGCAAAAAAGACAGTAAGCGCAAGCGACCTCCTGTTTTCTTTACTACCTCCACTACTCCATCTCCAATCCTGCTTTTTTTCCATTTCTGCCCTTCTCTATTTTCCATCTGCCTCCCTTCCGCCCTCCGTCACTCTCTTGGTTGTTTTCCCTTTTGTCTTCTTCTTTTCCATCCCTCTCTTGCTGGTTCTTCCGTTGACCACCAACAGTTGGACAGGAGTTGTGAACTGCTGTGTGTTTTGTGTAATGAGGTTGAGCTCTGATATCTACTTAACACAGGCCCATGCACAAGCACAAATGGGAATATGAGCTCATGCACACACACACACACCCTGATCCTACTCTAATACATGGCTGGGGGGCAGTTTGGTGGTCTTGGTCCTGAGAATAGTGTCACGTATTCCCGGGGCTGGCTGATAGATGGGGTTATAAATACAGCTCAGTGACAGAGAATGATTCTGCTGCGAGGGCTTCACCTAACGGATTCATTCCGTGTGTGTGTGTGAGAGAGAGAGAGACAGAGAGAGAACGACAGAGACTCAAATTATAAATAAAAGACAAAAAGACAGATCCACAAGAGAGAATCTGTGAGACAAAAGTAAGAAAGGAAAATGAGAACAAAGACAGAGAAGCAGATCAAGACAAACTGAGTAACCCAACCATCTGTCTGTGCCCTGCTGAACAGAGAACCAATAACAGCGCCCACAGAGCCATTGTGTTGTAGTTGACGGTAGTCAGGGGTTGTTTAATATGGCTTCGTATTTACTTTGTTTCAACCCTTCCTTTTTGTCTTTTATTTTTTTAGTTAGTTCTTATCACACCCATGTTTGTTCAAGTGATTTCCAGAGTTTGGTTTTAATTAGTTATTTGATGCTATAAAAACAATTGAATGTTTCAATGGGTCGAGCATGTGTATTGATGGGACCTCGCTACTGAACAGACTCTGGCTCCAAATGCCCAAGACGGCCGTGTTCGAATCCAAGATATTTTAATTCTGGATAGCAGGAGGAAGTGGAGACATGTTGTTGATCTTCAATAATAATATTAACTAATATTATGTAGTCAAGACAGAAAGCGACTGATTTGTAACTAAACACATTATTTCCAGTTTCCTTTGTTGGAGTGAATGTGTGTGTGTGTGTGTATTTGTGTGTGTGTGTGTTAACCAGCTTGAACAGAACTTGGAACAGTTTTTAGGCTCGGATGATTCCCGTCAGATGCAGAGCTCATTAATGTCAGAGGAAGTCTTCTCTCAGTGTGTGATGTCTGAAGTGAAGTTTGGATGTAAGTGGGTCCCCCCCGACTGCTGACCCCTTCCCCCTCTGCACAAGCCCCCTAACTGCTGGTCCAGTCACTGATCACTGGGCCTTGGCCACTGTTGAACACACATGCACACACACACACACAAATTCCTCTTTTCCTGGTTTCCTCTCACCCCTGCACCTCCTGACCTTTAATTTGGCTAAATTGAATTTTGGTT